TATATATATATATATATATATATATATATATATATGTGTGTGTGTAGAATTCAGATGCACAATCTGCACAAAGTCCATCTGAGATTTTTCTTTTAAATAAGCCTTTTTATCAGTGGCCTGTGTTTAGGTTCAGTAATTTCACTTTAATGGCAAAGAAAAGGTTATTAGTCAGTTATTGAATGGCTTATTTTCAAAAATGTCCAATGTTATTTTCATAGGAGCCTGATAAAAATGCTCATTATAAATCATTATATTATTTATGAATTGTTTTTGCAAATGGAGATGAGGTTTTGTCATAGTATTTCATATGTGGTGTCAGATTTAACAAACTAAACCCACACTTACACAGTCACTTTGTTTGAGAACATACCAAAGACGTCTTGTATATAAAGCTGATTATAATTATTATACTACATGTCTTGGAAGAGAGGTTTTGTAAATAGCTCAATTATGGGGACAAATTGTATAGCTAAGTACACAGCTCAGTAAAGGCGCACACATAACTGCTGCTGTTGCTTAGCCAGTGTGTAATTTCCTGAACGACAGCAGTTTTGCTCTTGATGTGATGACGGACAGGAGGAAGGCTTGATGTGTTTCTCTCTCTTCAGGGCGGCGGGCTGAGGTTGATTGACAGCAGCTCTGGGGTTGCGGTGTATCCGTTCTCCACAGCTGAGCGCAGGATAGATCTCCTGCCAGAGAGCTTTCAGCATCAGGCCTCAGGACTGGCTGTCAGTAAGAGAGACTTCCACAGCGTCCTCAACAACATCCAGCGTCTGCTGCCCCGGGCCTCCTACACTCAGGAACACAGCGCCATCTACAGGTGCACTGCAGCGCCGCAGGCACACACACACACACACACACACACACTCAAACCACAGGTCAGGATTTAGTGGACTGTGATCCAGAGCAAGAGCACAGATTGGTTCCATCCAGAATTCAAATCATTTATCATAAATTGGAATTCTGAACATTTTCTTCATTTGTCTGTAGACTGTGAAGGCAACACAGAAGCTGCTGCAACATGCATGCAACATATTTAAAATGTATATATACAGTGGTGGCCAAATGATTAGAACACTAGTATTTTCACCAGTTAAAAAATGGTTTTAAGTCAGTTCATTCTATTTTTGCTGTAGTGTGTCAGTAGGAAATATCAGTTTACATTTCCAAACATTAATTTTGCAATTAATTGTAATAATCCAGTGAGATTTTTGTGCTCCACACAGAGATCGTATCTGATCATAATCAGTCTGTCTGGAATCTTCCAGACAGACTGATGATGATCAGATCAGATCTCTGTGTGGAGCACTTGGCTGTTTTCAGACAAAAATCTCACTGGATATTTACATATAAATCACTATTTGCCTTAATATGTCTGCTGCTTGTTTATTCTCATACACAGCTGACAGAAGACAAGATGCACACGGATTGTCATGACAACAACAAAGTTTAGGGTTTGATGTAGCATTTGATTTATTAGAGTCACAGACATCTGTTTTGATCAAATCTAATATTGCATCTGTTTTACCATAAAAAACAATACTGGATAAATCATCTCTCTTAGACTTGTTTGAGGCGTTTGACTGTGAACCTGAGATTTTACGTTATTCACAAGGGTTTCAGCATCCATCCTTCATAACAGTCACTGAACACTTTACTTTCAACAGGGGTTATGCATAAAACACTTCCATATTCTGCAAAACAGGTCACATTGTTTCCGGTCTTCTGTATGTGCTTTGTTCAATATGGATCTGTTTCATGAAAGATGCATTCAAAAGAGATACCAAAGATGATCATGACCAATGTCTATCACATATGCAGACTGATATCTAAAGTTTATTTATTTATATTTTTTAACTATTAAGCATAATTTATTCTTTAATAAGCATGGCAAGGGGGGATGTTAAGGTTTTCAATAAAGAAGTAAAGTCAAGATGTTTCTGACTTTTTCTGGGAATGATTTAGAAAGTTGAATGGAACCCCAGCTATAGACCATAGACTGGTATAAGCATTAGGGCTGACAAAGGTAACACATGCAATTAATCAAATGTTTAACACCGTTAATGCATTTAACTGTGATAACTGGTTCATTCTTTTCTGTTTTTTACAATCAGATTTTGAACTGATTTGATGTTTCAGAGTAGATTAAAAGCAATCAGAGCCACACGAGTGTCTGTCTCATACACACAGTTTATTAATTTACACTCAAACCTAGACGTTTAACTACAGTCAAGTCATTTGTACTCTTTATATGGTTAAATATAATCTTCGTTAGAGCTCAACAAGAGAAATATCAGATACAGTAGAAATGTTCATGTGAACACCAGCAGAGCGCTGTTGTGTCAGGAAACCTCTGCATTATATAATTATATTATCTTATCATGTTGTGTTTGTATTTCAGCATGTGTTTTGATGCAGTTTGAGTAATATAGATTCCCCTTCAGGAACTCGAGCTGCGTCGAGATCGCTTTGGGAACGCCCTTGCGTGACCGCGTTCTGAAGCACGTGTCAAATCCGTCCAATGGAGCAGCGAGACGTCACGAGCAGGGTGACGTAAGCACCAGAAAGCATAAAAGCGCATCCGGCCGGGCGCAAACCAGCTTCTGCTCTTCAGTAGCGCTCTGTGTATGTGTCTGTCTATTTACTGTTGTCTGTCCGCACAAGCACTCATATATATAAAACAATGAGAAAGTCTATGGCGAGCGAACGGCATTACAAACGCTGTGTTTCTCCCTGCCCACGATATCTGGCGGCTGGGGATACACACGATATGTGTGTCGTTCCCTCGGGGAACCATGGTTACATACGTAACCTAGAGACGATAGGTTTGTAAGAATAGGCATGAATTCCCACAAACTGCTGGACCTAATTATTAAACCAAGCCTGTTATTAACTCTTTAGCTATTAACGAATTATGCGATTAATCACAATTAAGCATTGTAATCAACTGACAGCCCTATAGCAGTATCCTGTGCAGTGATATCCTCTCTCTCTGTGTCTGTCTCAGGTTGGGTCGTGTGAGCATGAGTGTGGCTGCTGAAGGCTCTGGCAGCAGCGTTAAGGCCCACGCTGTGGAGGTGTGCCAGTGTCCTCCCGGAAATGACGGCACTTCCTGTGAGGTAAGCCAGAAAAACAATGCTACATATAACAACGTAAAAATGGACAGGAGATGCTCTGATGTCTGACACGGGAGAATTTAGACCCTTCTCTGAAAGCTGACAGTAGCTATTATAGAATTTAGCTTATGTGCAAAACTAGAATATCGCATAAAACATTTGCGAATAAAGCACCGTTTCCATCCAACGAGTCAAAGAGAACAAAATCGTCACTTCCTGATAAACTGGCACTAAATATCTCTTAGAACTAGGATAAACTAGGAGAAGCCACTGAATATAATTTTCATATGTAATAAATTACTTGCGCCTCAGAGAGTCACATGACTTTTTCAATGCGCATGGTGGAATTTATTAGGAATTTAATGTGTTTCCATCATAGTTTAAGCGCATTTTTTCTTATCGGATAAAAAGTTTATCCTACTCAGTTGTGCGCATAAATTTTTTATGCGCAGTTTTAGAATGTGCATAAAAATAGGTGGATGGAAACATAGCTAGTGATTGTAGTCAGTGTTGGGGGTAACGCATTACAAGTAACGTGAGTTACGTAATCAGATTACTTTTCCCAAGTAACTAGTAAAGTAACGCATTACTTTTAATTTAGAAGGAAACATCCGAGTTAATTTTACAAATACGTAACGCCAGTTATATTGTTTTTCCATGTCTTGACTAACAGCACTCGTGTTGCCATGTTGAGAGAAATCAGGAGTAAGTGCCGAGGCGTTGTGTGTGAACATGATCTTACTGTAGTTCTAGACTAAATACGAACATGTATTTACTCATCTCACCTGCACAAAAACAGATTCAGTATTCCTCAAAATAAATAAAAACAGTCAAATGCAAACTCAGAATATTATACAAACATGCAATAATTAAATATGTTAAATAAGACAAATATAATTTATGTATTTAATCCCATTTTATTAACCAATGTCTTTGCTGCTGACGTTTGATGATAAAATTCAACCATACTAAGCAAAAATGACACATTTGTGTTTGATTTTTGTTATTGCTGAAAAGTGTTGAACTTTCTTCTCCTGCGTCATATTCTTCGTGTGATTTTTTTTTTTTAGCTGCGCCATCTACTGTACAGATGTGAATTTACATTTCCTTTAGCCTGAGGAGTATTCATTTCACTTTTGGTGTGAAAGGGCTTTTACATTTGTAAAAGAAGAATGTTTTATATTAAAAACAAACAAGCAAGCCCTGCCCAGATTTAAAAAGTAACGCAAAAGTAACGTAACGCATTACTTTCCATAAAAAGTAACTAAGAAATGTAATTACTTTTTAGGGAGTAACGCAAACATTGTAGTGCATTACTTTTAAAAGTAACTTTCCCCAACACTGGTTGTAGGTAGCGCTCAGACCGTGACTTCCTTCTCCTGAGCAAGAGATGTGAAAGTTCGAAAATAAAGCTGTCTGAAGTCACTTCAAAGGGTTAAACCAAACTTCCTGTCATTTATTCACTTTCCTGATGCTGTAAATGTTTTCTGTGGAACACAAAGAAAAATGTGAAGAATACCCTGAAGACCAAAAGAGACTGTTTGACCGACATGTAAAATATACATGGTTTAATTTGAAACTGATGCATTAGAGCACAGTATATTTGTAGGTCAACCCATATGTTGGCATCAGCCTGGTTCCCGCCACAAAAAACCAATAGGATTTTTCCATTGGCTTTTCGATTATTGAAGAAAATGAGCTCTGTAACCAACAAACGTTTATGATTCTTACAGGTTTTGCTCGTAATGATAAGCTTCACAAATGAACACAACTTTTATGAATTTTGATGCCTAAATACAATCGTCCAAAGTAAAAAGCTAAGCATAGGATATAAACAAACTACACTGCAGTTGCGTGACTTTAACAGCTCTCTCTATTTTTGAAAAGTATGATTATAAACACAACGAGGCAAGTGAATAGATGAGTTTTCCTGTTCTTTGAAAGTTTATTGTCTCTGACAACCTCTGTAGTGCCATTTAGACACTTGTTATCAACCGCCTTTTTCAAGACAAGTAAAAGCTTTTTAAAATCACAAGAGGTTATTACTGATGTATTTTATATTGTAGAAAATATATATTAATGTGAAAATATCTTGAGCTTGTGTTCACCACTGACCTCCCTAGTAAAAAAAGTACTATATTTAAAATGCATTTATTTCATACTAAGTACAGTTAAAATCTATTAACATATTTACTGACGCATCGCTCGAGACTTACTGATATAAAAATTGTGATTCAACTTTATTTGGAGTACTACTTGTGCCCAACGCACATTTCCTAATGTCAAGCCCAACATGTGTTTTAATGTCACTATTGATGAAGATTGCATGATTTTTGAATAATATCGGTCTTTAAATGCAAGATATTTAAAGTGCACCTGAAGTATACTTGCAATAGTTTCACTTTAGCAGAATCAAATATACTTCAGTATATCTTTTGATGGACTTCCCCACAATTAAACATAAAATTAGTAGTTTTAATTTAGCAGACTAAAAGTACAATTGCAGGATATTTTTATTAAGTACATAAATATAGTATCCTTAGCATGAAATAAATATATTTCAAATACATTTAAGTATATTTATTTATTTACTATGGCTATTTCAGGCATTTAACCAAAAACCCATTGACTTTTAGCATGATGGAACCAGAAGCACTATAATTCAACTCATATCCGGGTTTTGGCCTCCAAAAATACATCATACAGCACTCTATTAGCAAAAAATGTGTTTTAAAATTTCTGTTCATCCAAAATGAATATGGATTATTTCACAGATATAAACGAAGTGGACTATACTATACAGATTACGCGTTTATCTGCTTCTAACAACCTCAAACAGGACTTTGTCTTCAAGGGTTCCACCTGGTGAACAGGCAAATCCAGACACTGCTGTTGCCCAGAGGTGTTTATTGAAGCCGGTCGGTGTGTTTTAATCAGCGTCCCAGTGGACCGATGCACTGACAGTCTGAAATACCTGCACTGTACTGTCAGGTGTTCCTCATGCAGTGGGATGAATATCTAGTTTGTTTCAGGGCGCGTGTGTGTGTGTGTGTGCACAAACACACATTTACTCGGCTAAATGAGGACACACCAGAGAAAAGCTAATTGTAATGACTACAAACTAAAATCATAATCAGGGGCGGACTTACCAATTAGGCAAAGGTAGGCGACCGCCTTGGGCCCCCAAAAGCCAAGGGCCCCCAAAAGCCAAGGGCCCCCTAAAATGCTTTTCATATAGGATATACGCATTAAGCGCTGACACGCGAACAGTTGCTGTTTACAGTGTTTGTTACCACGACACCCGTCCGAGTCTGTGGCGCGTGGAAATATTACGCCAAATAGAAGCAGAAAATCGTGCTATACGCACTTATTTAGTGCGGGTTAGCCTACACCAATGAATTTGTTGACTATTTCACAAATGGGAAAACAACGAAGCTCCAAACGTTTTTCTAAATTTACTTTATAAAAAAAACGAAACAAAATATAATCACTTTTTCATTACATACTCAACTGAACAATTTTAATAGCTGAAACAGTAGTATAAGCTTTTTTGGGGGGAAAAGGGGAAAAAGGGCCTATATTTGAGGCCCGTGCAGGGCTCTAATCCACTTCCTCCAACGCAGTTTTGTTCTCATCTGTGAGCATGCTCTTGATATATGTATTTTACCATTTTGTTGAGTTTAAAACGTGACACATTCGTCCTGCTCTCACTGATCATTTGGTCTCCCCCACACCATGAAAGAAAGCCATTAAAATATGTACATGAAAAATGTTGAAACATTGGACACAACTATGGGGCACCATTGTGCAGCAGCAAGCATCACAACAAAAAAGGAACCTCAAGTTGATCTAGGAAAATGTGTGCAAATGTATAGGGCCCCATTCCTATATTTTGCCTGGGGCCCCCAATTCACTAAATCCGCCCCTGATCATAATAGAAAATATTTGTTCCCTTCTGAGGGAACTTCGAACTGCGTCCTCTAGAGGTCGCTTTGGGGAACGCCTTTAGCATGACCGGTGTCTGAAGCATACATTTAAACACGACAATGACATTGGCCAGCGACAGCCTGTGACATCATCACCCGGCGCAACCACAGTATAAAAGGGCTGTGGTTAGAAAAAAAAAGCAAGTGAGGAAAACACGTCATCCTCTTCTTCGTCTTCAAGAACTTTTTTTGTTTTGTTTGAAGTGTGCCTTTTCGGTAAGAACGATTATTCTTCTTTACCATGACGAGCATGTTCTAAGGATCAAAGGCAGGCTCAGAAGACTAGTGTCACGACTCACGCCCCAGTGCTCTTTGTACTTTGCCTCCAGCCTAAATCAATGAGCCTGAGTCATGCGCGGGAGCCATGGTTGGTGAGTACGATCCATTTAATCTACTCTACTGCTAGTTCTTGTGTATTCGATACTAGCCTTTCTTTGCAGCGCTACTCGGACCTGTTCTGTTTTCTGACTTTTAGGTTTGACCCACCTGCTAAGTCAGGACCTCCTGCTGTTGACCGATTAAAGTAATGGTTTCACTCATCGGTTCTGGATCCAGGCTGGTGATAGCCCTCATCTTCGTCTTGGACACGCAGCCTGGGCTTCTGCAGAAGCCTTCCAGCATCAGGTCCCCAGTATAACGCTGTAACCTCAGGACCTGCGGGTACTTCTCACAGGCAAGTACTCTAGTACATGCTTCGTGACATGCTCCCTATCCTACTGGCCAGGGTGCGCTACTCATTTCTCACCCTGAGGGGTCTCCCGAGATTTGAGTCATTCCTTAACCATCATGCACATTCTCTGAGCTAGAGCTCGCTGAGGCGCTGAGGAGCTCAACGCTCCATAGACGGTCAGGCCCGCGGGTCCTCCCTGTCACTCTGACCTTACGGTCGAACCAGTAATCGCCCACCTGCGGAGTGGTCTTGAGTACACTGCATTCTCTGAGGTAGAGGGATTTGTGTTTCTGTGGAAACCCCTCTTGTATGCTTCTGCTCTGAGGAGCAGTAAGCTCTATACGCATGAATGGTTATTGGGTCCCGCTATTTCTTCAGATACTATTGAGGTCTGGATATACGGGACCCACACTCTCTATCGAGATAGAGAGCAGGAGACCATGTCCAGCTGCACCAGTGGACTATCTCTTATTGGGCCCTGCTGGGTTACCCCTTCTAATATAGCGCCCCCTTCTGGTCGAGCTGAGAAGTGCTCCCCTCACTGTGAGGGTTAGCTATGAGTCGCTCCCAGTATGTTCTGTAGGGCCCGCCTCAGCTTGAGAGCCGAGAGCGCTGCTCCCGAAGAAACCCATTTGCAACAAACTAAGTGTTAGGCCCGTCTCTGTCGCCTTCTTGGTCAGTTACCTTTATGTTGGGACCCTGTTGTTCCCTTAGAAATGGGTGATTGCCTTCTAGCAGGATCCCATTTCTGATGTCCCATTTGCGATCTATCTGCTCCCCGGATATGGCTGTGCTCCCCTCACTGCGGGAGGGTCCCTTTGAGCTCGCCGGTCCTGGGCAAACTGGGTGAGTCCTCCTCTCGACTCGAGAGTTAGGTCCTCTACCCTGGGCTATTGGTCGCTTCAGTCGAGCTGGGTTTCTCTCTCTCCTCGCTAGGGGTTGAACCCTCCGCTCTTGAGCTCAGTGGCAGTGACATCAGGTAGTTGGGCTGCTTGCTGCTTCCCTGATAAGCTGCCCCAATTTGGGTCAAGCTAGGCAGTGCTCCCCTCACCTCAGAGGGTTGCCTTTGAGCCTGCCACTCCCGACTGAGCATTTGTGGACCTCTCTCATCGAGTCATCTGCTCGTTTGAGTTTCATTGAGTAGCGGCCTCAGGTTGTTAGGCCTCTCTTCGCCTCCATGTTGAGCCGCTCTCTTTGTGGGTCGAGCTTAGCAGTGCCCTTGGGGGTTTCATGAGCATGCCTCTCTTGATCTGAGCGTTCGAGTCCCCCTTCTATTTTTGACGTTTTTTTAGCTCCGTAAAGCAATAATGCCTGGCGGCTGGACCATCTCCTGCCTCCCTGACGAGTTCCTTGTTAAGTGAGCTAGCTGTGCTCCCTTCACCCTGAAGGGCCTCTTGCAAGCGCACCGCTCCCTGTCTGGGTATCTGTGAGCAGATGCTTCGGATCCTGTTTTATGAGCATACCTCAGTCACGTAGGGCTTAAGCAATGGTTTTTCCAAATCCATGCTATGGTAAGTGCACACGCTGAGCCTCTGTGCACTTTCTAAAATCCACATTGTGGTAAGTGTGCACGCTAAGCTTTCTGCACACTTTCTAAAATCCTGTATGGTAAGGGTTACGTGCTGTCAACCTCGTTCCCTTTCTCTGAGTTGGTTTAGGCCCCAGTTCTCGCCTTGGGCTCCACTCAACTTATGTATCTCTGTTGATACATTTCTGTTCAGGATGTTGCTACCAAAGATCTGTCGAGTCAGTTCTTTGAGCAGGTTTATTCAGAACCGGCGGTAGCCCCCCTGGGTGGCAGGCCAGGGTCTGGTTTGGTTTTTAGACACCTAGCCATATCCCCTTAAATGAATCTCTTTCTTCTGATTCCAAGCCTTGAGCTCTGCCCTAGGCTTGGGCTTCCTAGCCCAGCCTTTAACAGGTAAGTTATTTTAGGGTATGCAGCTCAGGCCCTTGGTCGAAGGGGATAATGTCACTGACAGCCGTCAAGACGTCCTTGGGGCAACTCCCATGGGTATGATAGAGTTGGTACTTAGTGCTCGCCGTGGTTTCTGGTATGCACTCCCCTCAGCATGGCGGTGTGGGTATACCGTTCCCCAAAGTGACCTCTAGAGGACGCAGTTCGAAGTTCCCTCGGAAGGGAACGTCTCAGGTTACGTATGTAACCATGGTTCCCTGAGAAGGGAACGAGACACTGCGTCCTCTGGTTCCCTTGCCATACTTCGGACATAAGCTTCAGATGAAGAAGCGGATGACGTATTCTCCCGGCGCCCTTTCATACTGAGGTCGTTCTGGGTGATGACGTCATAGGCTGTCGCCGGCCAATGTTATTGTCGTGTTTAGATGTATGTTTCAGACACCGGTCATGTTGAAGGCGCTCCCCAAAGCGACCTCTAGAAGACACAGTGTCTCGTTCCCTTCTCAGGGAACCATGGTTACATACATAACCTGAGATGTTTTCTTTATATTAAAATGTGTTTGTTTTATTTAAAAATAGATTTTCCTACTGAGGCAGTCCACAATCAAGTCACACATCAAGCACACTTGAGTTTCCATTGAAAATATTTGATGACCTTTATTTACTGTGTGTGTGCTGATCAATTTTTACACCATCAGTCAAGGTTTGGAATAATTAAGATGTTTTTTAAAAATGTTTTTGACAGAAGTCTCTTCTGCTCACCAAGGCTGCATTTATTTGATCAAAAATACAGTAAAAACAGTAATATAGTGAAATATTATTACAATTTAATATAGCTGTTTTCTCTGGGAATATCTGTTAAACTGTAATTGATTTCTGTGATCAAAGCTGAATTTTCAGCATCATTACTCCAGTCTTCAGTGTCACATGATCCTTCAGAAATCATTCCAATATGCTGATTTGCTGCTCAAGAAACACTTCTGATTATTATCAATGTTGAAAACAATTGTGCTGCACAATATTTTTGTGGAAACTGTGATGCTTTACCATCCTGAAGTCTGGGGTAAGTATGATTTTAATTAATTTTTTTAAAGAAATAATTTGTTTATAATTTTGTAACATTTACAATATCAGAATATTATTAGCATATTATTATGATTTCCAAAGGATCAGGTGATACTTAAGACTGGAGTGATGATGCTGAAAATTCAGCTTTGATCACAGAAATAAATTACATTTTAACAAATTATTCATTTTCACATATATTCACTGTTATTTTTAATTATAATGATATTTCACTGTTTTTGCTGCTTTTGGGTTAAATAAATGCAGCTTTGGTAAGTAGAAGAGACTTCTTTCAGAAATATATATAGATAAAAAAATCTTAATTATTCCAAACTTTTGACTAGTAGTGTGTAAAAGTCTAAATTAAATCTGCTCTTTATGTAAAGTGACCATGTCTCTGCAGAGTACTTGAATTAAACCGCTCAAGTCATATGAATTTCATATAGACTGTACGAAGATTTTGAAGCCTCAGAGTATTGGTTGCATGGACTTTGAGAAGATAAACAAAAATGTTGTTAATTAAAAATATCTTCATTTATATTTTGAAGATGAACAATAGTCATGCAGGGTCTAGAAGGACAGGAGGGTGGATATGATGACACAATGTGTATTTTCGGATGAACTATCCCTTTAAATGTTCCCTGTGTGTCTTGGCTCAGTGTTGGGAAGGACGGGCTGCTCTGAGAGTGACGGGGTCAGCAGGGTCACTGAAAGACAGCAGGAAAACAAATGTGATGTTTATTGCTGTAGTCATTTCCAATATCCACTTCATATTCAGCATGTGTGTGTAAGATCTCTGCAGTCAGCAGTTCTAGTGATCTGCCTACCTAGACAGCACATTTAGGCATCGTCCCGATGTGAAGGCTGAGTTAGAAAAAAAAAAATATATATATATATATGGGGTCGGGACTTAATTTGGATTTGGGACTTAATTTTAAAACATCGGTTGTTGATTGGACTGTGAACAGTGAGTGTTGCACACCTGAATGTCATTGGCTTAAATAAATGGCAGTCTCACAAAGAAGAGCACGTTTTGACATTTTAATTACAAAGATTACGAGGTATATAAAAAATATGCATGAATGAATTGTTCACAACAAGACCAATAGCATGCATATAAAAAAATAATGGAATTATTTTCAAAATAAATGTAAATTGTGATTCCATGGCGACAGCTCTGTAGAAAGTAAACACTGAGAACAATCACTCAAATATAAGAAGAAGAGAGCAACTTCAAACACATTAATGAAACAAAACAAGGCAATTTGAATAAGAACACACACACTTGACATGCTTTGTCTGAACAGGCATTTATCAGCCGGCTCTATAAACTTCCCTTGTGCTTCAGTTGTCTGAAACAAATCTTCTCCCTCATTTAGTAAATCAAAGCACTACAATGATCCGTCAATTAGCACAGCACAGATTAATTACTGGCAGCACAGACGCTCACACACTGATGCACTTTCAGCCAAACCTGCCCAAAACACCACGCTCATCCTTGTGAAGAATCATGTGTGTTGATGTGTTAAATATGAGTTATTGTGTGTGTTTTCACAGATGTGTGCTATGGGCTACCGCAGGGTGAACGGGACACTGTACCGCGGCGTGTGTGAACTCTGTCAATGCCACGGACACGTGGAGCGCTGCCATGACGTCACTGGACACTGCCTGGTAATGTGTGTGTGTGTGTGTGTGTGTGCGCGCGTGCATGTAATTAGTTTTAATGACAACATGGTTTGTCATAACTCAACAGCTGCTCATTTCCAATAACTATTTTGGGTAACATTTTAGTATAGGGACCAATTCTCACTATTAACTAGTTGCTTATTAGCATGCCTATTATTAACATATAAGCAGTTTATTAGTACTTATAAAGCACATATTTTGCATGAGCATATCCCTAATCCTGCCAAATGCTTAAACTTAGCAACTGCCTTACTAACTATTAATTAGTAAAAATTAGCAGCAAATTAGGAGTTTATTCAGGCAAAAGTCATAGTTAATGGTTTGTTAATGGTGAGAATTGAACCTTAAAATAAAGTGTGACCGTATTTTGTTGTTTTTCTTTTTTTTTCTTTTCTTTTTTCATAGTGAGTGTACAGAATTGTCATTGCTGCTTTTATTGTTGTAGCTGTTTGCCCATAATAACAGAACCGCATATAACACAATCTGCTGTGAATGCAGTTCAGATGGAGTCACAGAAAATAGAACCATTCCAATTCATGTGTGTGTGTGTGTGTGTGTGTTGCACGCTCTCTTCTGTCTTGTTCTTTCTCTTCTATCCAGTGAGTGTGTGATTGTTAAGACAGAGTAAATGGCACGGGTTAAATTGGGTCGTTTATTTGTATGCATTATGCAAACACAAATGAGGTTTGGGTCCACATGATCTGTGAGTATTGAATTTCATACCTGACACATTAACAAACATTAGCAAATGCAAACAAACATGTTCATACAACAGTATCACTTCCTCTGTCCATAGCTTGTTACAGCAGTGAACTGGACTGAATGTGTGTGGATGGATTGCGCTGTGATTATCACTGTGTGCATGTGTATTTACCGCTCACAGATGAAATACTAGCGCTGTCCCTCCGATCCATTAGTCTGACACTGTGTGTCTCTGAAAGACTGATTAATAGTGTGAATCCATACTGCCTCATGTTACTTTTAAAAGTTAGGCGTCACAATATTGTGTAATGCCTAATTAAATGTAAGCAATGGTGTTACATTTTCTCTTTTTTATGGAATGTAATGTAATTGGTAGTTTTGGCTTAGTTGCACAGAAGCTGCATGTGAGAGAATGATTCAGGTTTTTTGATGGAAGTTTAAGGTGGCTCTAAAGCGGTTTCATTTACTCATCTGCAGACTTTTTGTCTATGGGTCAAAGACGAAAAGAGGTTTTTAGGCATTAAAAACAAAAGTTAAATGCAGCTTTAATTTATTATTATTATTTTTTGTTGTTGTACATTACAATTCATACTGTTTATTTATTTTTTATTTTTATTTTTCTGAGCTTAAAATAATGACCATCATACATTTGTACAATGATTTACAGAAGATGCCCACTAAAATGTAATTCAGTGTAACAATAGTTACAACAAAATCTTGTCAGGCATATTTAGAACAAGAATCTTTAGATGACATTAAAAGACTACTATCCTTCAAACCACTATGAGTTATCCATTTGTCAGCAAGAAGTTTTTAATATAGTTTTAAAATATAATAACATTTTGTGTTACTGTTTGTTCTTTTATTTATTTTAGATTTTTTTAATTAAGTTCAGGTCAGAAAAGTATGTTGCATTTTTACATAAATATGTGTGTTATACTGAATGACATTATATGAACAATTAACATTATTTTACCCATATTTTGACATTTTATTTTCACAAAAGTTATTTAAAACATTAGACACTTTATTTGCATTTAACATGCTTTTTATGTATATACAATCACTTAGTAAATTTAATTTGTGGATGCGGACACTAATATAGGACTACTCATCTTTGCCCTGTATATATACAGTATATATATTAAAACACATCCATCTCTTGACATTAGTCATGTGTGTTTGTCTGTAAATGTGTGTGTGTGTGTGTGTGTTGTAGGGCTGTAGGGATCACACGGTCGGACCGTACTGTGACCAGTGTGCTCCTGGAGACGCCACCAGAGGAACTGCAGATGACTGTCAGCCATGTGCTTGTCCTCTTCTCAGCCCATCAAACAAGTACGTCGGCACTGATAACAGGAAGTCATGATATCAGAACCTACAAATAAACACTCACCAACCATAATCAAAGCAGTTAAACAGTCACATAACAGTACTTTCAGATTATTATTGTATGTAACTATCAGGCTATATTATGTTCTCCATAAATTACATACATATCCTCCTGAGACCCTGCCATAGATGTGTGCCTCTGTATGACAATACATTTTAGCAAATAGGTCAAATAGTCTAACAAGTCATTCTGTAATATCTTTCATACTGTAACATAATTGAGAATTATCTTTGTACAAAGTTTTGTTAAAAATTGATTGGTCAATGAAAGCAAAATAAAACAAAACCTTGTTTTTGCCTGGATTACTTCTACAGAGGATATAGCATAAAATATCAATAAAATAACTGTTTTTATAGGCACAGAAAAAAATCACAAAACAAGTAAAAAAAAAGTTTAAGTAAATAAATAAAGAAACAACCCTATTGTACTGTAAAACTATAGAGATACTAAACCAAATATATATTCATAAAATCATGGTTTGAGCTGGCATTGCTACACATCTGAAATGTGTGTGAACAATGTGCCTTTAGTGGTACAACAGCTTGTCATTTGGGCTGAACCTTTAAGGCAAAATAGTAAAATATTAACTATTAAATATTAAGAGATATCACCATACTTCCCCCAACTATTTAATCACAGTACATTAAAATAATTGGGTTACACTTTATTTCGATAGTCCACTTTAGACATTCTATTAACTATAAGTAACTTTGTAACTATATGTCAACTACATGTCAACTAATTCTCAGAGTAGACTGTTAGGGTAGGTTTAGGGTTAGTAGAATAAGTTGACAAAGAAAGTGTTAGAAGATATTAAGCAGACAGTCTACTAATACTCTACTAACTGCTAGTTGACATGTAGTTGCAAAGTTACTTACTGTTAATAGAATGTCTAAAGTGGACTATCGAAATAAAGTGTTACCAATAATTGTTTTCTGAAATGTTATATTTAAACATGCAAATGAACTACTATCTAATTAAATATGCACTAATTTGCAAAAACTTCCAGAACAGAAATATGAACATTGTAACTAGGATTGAAATTATTGTTTGAGGTTTTTAAGTTAAAGGTTTTTACAGAGGGGATTTTAAATTTATCTTTTTATCACTCCATAAATCAGAAAATACTGTCAGCAATGAGAAAACACGCACACACACACACACACACACACACACACATACATTTTCAACATGGTTTGAGGAATAAATATTAAAAAGCTAAACCAGGCAAATGATATATGAGCAAATCCCTCTTCATATAGATGGGAATAAACCTGTGAAGTTTGCTTTATGCAAGTGCTGCTGAAGTGGAGATTTCTGACTCAGTGCAACAGAAAAAAAATTTGCGTGTAGTCGCCTTAAAGGGAAAACTTAAAGGGTTAGTTCGCCCAAAAATGAAAATTAGCCCATGTTTTACTCACCCTCAAGGCATCCTATGTGTATATGACTTTCTTCTTTCAGACGAATCCAGTCGGAGTTATATAAAAAATTGTCCTTGTTCTTCCAAGCTTTATAACGGCAGTGGGCGGGTGTTTCTGTTCAACAGTCCAAAAGTAGTCAAATAAAGCGCATGCATCCATATTAAACCGTACATCACACGGCTCCAGGGGGTGAGTAAAGGCCTCCTGTAGAAAAACGATGTGTTTTTGTCAGAAAAATATATATATTTAAAACTATATAAACACCTTTTTCTCACTTCTGCTATCTGTCATACGTGCAAGCCATTCCGGCGGATGACGTAGGACATATGCGTCGCGCATGCGTCGGTGATTAGTGACGAACGTGGAAGCACGACGGAGAGAGAACATAACAAAACGCCGGTCATGAATTAGAAGCACAAAACGAGGATTTGTAAAGAAGAATGTCGGAGGATTTCGATATAAGCCAAGAGGAGACTGGTTTTCCTTTGCTAAAGTGAGGAAACTTTGCTTCCTTTGCTCCTGTAAACAAATGTTGGTTTTCGCAAGACTCACACGTGCATGTGTTACGCCTACGTCCTACGTCATCCGCCGGAAAGGCAGTCTCTTGTGAACTCGCATAAAACAGTTAGCGGAAGTTACACAAAACTATTTATATCAATTTAAATATGGATTTTTTTTTACAAAAACTCATTTATTCGCTACAGGAGGCCTTTACTCACCCCCCGGAGCCGTGTGATGTACATTTTATTATGGATGGATGCACTTTATTTGACTACTTTTAGACTGTTGAACAAAAACACTTGCCCATGCCATTATAAAGCTTGGAAGAACAAAGACAATTTTTAACATAACTCCGATTGGATTCATCTGAAAGAAGAAAGTCATATACACCTAGGATGCCTTGAAGGTGAGTAAAACATGGGCTAATTTTAATGTTTGGGTGAACTAACTCTTTAATACCTCATCTAAGGGACACTTGTGTACCTTTCAGGGGTAAATAAGGTACAAAGATGTCCTTTTGAGGCTACTGCCCCAGTGACAAGCTACTTTTTTTCTGAAAGTGTAGCATCACTAATGCCGGGTTCAGACTACACGATATTTTTGTCGGTCACGATAGTCACTGTGTCAGATTACACAATTTTGACTCCTAAAATCTTGTCATGTCGTGTACAAGAAACATGTCAGACTACACGTTGCTTCCCGACCATTCATCGTGTGCCGTCTTTAACTACGCAAGGCAAGCCAAGGCAAGTTTATTTATATAGCACATTTCATACACAATGGTAATTCAAAGTGCTTTACATAAAAGAAAAGAAAAAAAAAATAATCACAACAATAAAACAAGGAATTTAAAAACATTGAAAATGATTAAAAAAATTTATTTAAAAGGTCGCCAGCATTTTTCTTTCTTTGTTCTGTCGTGGTAGTCCCTCGATGACACATCATACAGGCAGGAGTACTGTTGCCACAGCTCCACGAACCTTTCCTCCATCTCATAATTCCACCTAGCAGCACCATCATCTCTCTTTCGTTTTGCCATGTTTGAAACCTGTGTATGAAAGAGCTTCTGTGCTGCTATTGGTCAACGTCATCAATGTGACAGAACTCGTCGTGTACGACGGAAAAAAAATTAAGCATGCTAGTCTTTCTGTCGTGATGTCGTGAAGCATCGCAGACGCGGAATCGGTTGTCGTCCACTATGACACTCTACACGAGCTGAAACGATGGAATCTTGCGTTCCGATGCCCATTGTCGTTTACGAATCCCCACGACACCCTACGTCAAGCAAATCGTCGCAAAATCGGGCTAAAATCGTGTAGTCTGAACCGGGTATAAAAGAAACTGCTGTGTGAAAACAGGTTTCCCGAACATTGCTATTGGTTAGTCATAGAGTCAGTGTTGAGTCTGTGTTTCTATGCTGGGCTATTATAAGAGACTGAGCAATGTTGTGATCGTGCCAGATACTCAAACAACACAATAAACCTGTATGTTACAATGGGAGACGAGAAACTATTTCAAAAATGTTATCGCAAAAAAAAAAAAACAATTGCACATATTATCTTTAACAATCTTGTGGCAGTAGCAGACTCAACTTGTTTAACTAAAACCGGTAAAGACAATAATTCAGTATAAATTGGTCTTATTTTTAGCATGGTAGTATTTATAAAGATGACTTGTAGCTCTTCCAGCATGCAAAGTCCTGCATGCTTTAACTTCAACTCTGTAACTGGCGCATGATTTCAGCACTAGGCTAATATTGGCTGTAGCATGCTAGTGGCTAATCCAGAAAGAGTAGACATGTCCCAGAATCCAACAGCTGAGCATTCCACATCCTCAAGCGGGCTAAAGAAAGCGTCGCTCCCCTCCTGCCCTCAGCATTCCCAGCATGCCCCTCAGCCGGGCTCCAGTGTCGTCTGAAATAGTCATTATGCTAGAGCTGATGGCAGAACCTGACCTCGCTGCACAGGCTTTGCCCACCAGTTAAACCGTCTTGGGGTTCAGACGCTCTGGTGTCGGTTAGATCCAGAGTGAGCACTTATGACGAATGGGAAGGATGTTTTTAATTCGCTGCTCTTTTGTTTTTCTCTGTGTCCCCTTGTTGGCTCAAAAACACCGTAGTTTCAGTCCCACATGTCACGCCGATGCCAGGGGTGAGGTGATCTGCGACCGATGCCCGCCGGGTTACACGGGCACACGCTGTGACAGGTAAGACGACAAGGTTTTACCTCCAGACTTTACCTTCAGTGGGGTAAGTTGCGCCACTTTTTACTCAGGCTCTCCTCTATACAAAAAGAAACAAAACTGATTATAGCTAATGATATTTCAGCGTCTTTAACGTCAGGCCATGTAGTGCATGCACAATGATTAGGCATGTTGATATTCTGATCATATTTTTTTTTCCAAGCACACTTTACCAATTCCAAAGCACATCAATCCTAATAACTACTATTAATTTCATTGTCCATGAAGGCTGGGAGTGAAAAACTGTACTTTTATACCATCGTGCTGTAAGGGTGGTTTCCCTACAGTAGTACCGGAGTGCTTCACCTCTCAAGTGCAATGCCGTATCGTGTGAACTACCAAGCAAACCTACTGCATTAGAAAACCCATACATATGAAGCTGTATATGTGACGCTAACATTCAAAAGTATCCGTTTTCAAATCGTGCAGCATGTTGAATTGTTTTTAAGTCCTAACATAATATTGTGCAAGGACTTGTGCGAAAATGAGGCTTTCTTAATCAAAACTCTGGCCCTGTAAATCATACTTTGCGTGAAAAGGAATAAGAGTTTTTCAGAGTTTTACTGCCTCTAGTGTTCATTTCGACTGAAGACTGCAGCAATTTTTACATATAGGTACTTTTTTTAGTACCTATGCAGAAACGCAAGTAGAGACACATATTTCCAATGATCCTTGGTTAGTTACTTTACACTTACAATCTTTAAAAGGGCCATAAATTTAAAATAAATGAATGAATAATAACAAATTTAAGTTTACCCAAAAGTCTCAAGCTGGGTTAATTTCTGATGATGCCGTTTTGAAACTTGACCAGAAATTCCCTGCAGAATTTTAATGGCATTGTACCAACACCTTAATGAGTCGTCTACAGGCACCACAAGACGTCATACTGTAATTGTGCTCCGGACTTTCCAAAAGGGGAGGCAGCATAAGAAATGTTCACTAGAAAAATATTTGTAGTGTATGCCATTATGCGTAAGTATTGTTAAAAAGTAGCAGAATCTAACTAAAACTACATAAACTATTTTACTCATCTTTTGTGGGTGCTTGTGTGTATTTTTATGTTTGTTAGAATATCACGTTGTTAGCTTAGCAATTTAACACTAAACTCTTGAAATCAATATCATTTCAACTCTTAAAATCATTTGGCAGATGCTTTTATCCAAAGTGACTTACATTGCATTCAAGGTATTTCATCAGTTCATGCATTCCTTGGAAATCAACCCATAATCTTGGCATTAATGCTGCTTATGTAGAAATCAGTTATGAAATCAGTCAGTTTAGTGGTTCCTTTTCATTTAGGATACAGCCTTAGAAGGACACCTCTTACAAGGGCAGCAAAAAAGCCTTTATGTCCTCTCCAGTAACTCGTCATATTTAACCCTTGTTATGTGTGTGTGTGTGTGCGCATGTGCAGTTAATTTAATTAATAATTTATGCATTTAGCAGACACTTTTATCCAAAGCCACTTACTGTGCATTCAGGCTATACTTTTTTTACCAGTATGTGTGTTCCCTGGGAATTGAACCCACAACCTTTTGCGCTGCTAACACAATGCTTTACCACTGAGCCACAGGAACACAGGTACTGAGCTCTGGCGGTTCTGGTAAACCCTAAGTTATCAGGACAAAATGTCCCCCCAAAAAAAGGCAATATCCGAAATCCTTGTCCTTGTGGGGACATTTCGTCCCCATGAGGAAACAAGCTTATAAATCATACAGAATGTTTTTATATATATATATATATGCCGGAAGTTTAGGTGTAGGGTTGGTGTAGGGCAATAAAAAATAAATTCTGTACAGTAGAAAAATGGAATGTCCCCATAAAACATGAAAACCCAACGTGTGTGTGTGTGTGTGTGTGTGTGTGTGTGTAAAATGCCGAACAACACCATGTGTTTGAGTTTGTAATATGTTTGTTTGAGTAGACTAGTCAAACAAATCTTAATCTCTAGGCCATATGGATCTCTGTCCCAGTGTGACATGAAATAAAATTCAGGGATAAGATGGAGCAAATGGCTTGATCATCTGTGGTCAGTGCAAAGTGGCCACAAATGCAATATAACACAAAGCAGCACCTCTCTAGCATTGGCAGCTGTGGCACTCATGGTTTTGTCTTAATTTCATTAGCATCAGAAATCACTGAGCTAATCTATCATGCAGAATATTTCCATCAGTCACTCTGTTTATTTCTCTTTCTTTCTCATCCCTTCACTTTCCCCACTGGGCGTCAATCTCTCTCGTTCTCTGAAGGTTGATATACTGATGTGTTAGCATTAGCATATGCTGCATTCTGGGGGTGTTGCGTTGGCAGTCGCGCCAGCTCTGTACGTGGACTAAATCACAGTGGTGTCGTGGAATACGGCATCTAGGTGGAAGAAAGGTCTCGGCTCTGCTGTGACCCCACCCCTGAAACAGATGGAGAGGGAGTGCTGCAGTGCCACGCTAGCTGGCACCAAAGCGCTCCAAGCTGAGCCATTAGCAGACACGAGGTGGAGGGAGCGGAAACGGGGGAGCTGGTGGTGTGTTATGGAGGACAAGCGGAGAAAAGTTAAAGAGGAGAGAGAGTGAATGGAAAGGTTTCTCTTTCTGGGAAAAGCCAGGGACAGACGCACGTTAATGGGGCGAGATGGGACCGATCCATCACTGCTCAGACGGGGCCCGAACCCAGTCTGTCCCCTGAGAGACCCACTGAAAGAGATGTGAAGGACATACTTCACACAAACTCAGTCAGGCGGCACATGTCGCTCCTAAAACGTGTTCTTAAAAACGCTTTGTACCGAGGCCGTTCAACAGGGAAGCCACATTAAATGGAGCACAGATAGAGACTTAATCACACACGTGTCAAAGGACTTTCAAAGGATGTCTCAAGAATTCCTCATAGAATGCTCAGGTAATCTGCAATGAGAAGGCAGAGATCTCAATATGAACTCAAACATTTATCATCAAATCTTCCAAAATCTGCTTTTCCCAAAAGTACTGTATGTTTAAGTAGACCGTAGAGACCTTTGGTGCCAAGGAGCTTCTTCAATCTACTTGATTGCTTTTGGGAAACATCAATGAATTCACGTTTGTTCTATAGTTTTATACTTGTATGCCATCTACGGTCTCATCAGTGCCTCTTTATTTGTGCGTTCTATATAATTTTAAGAGAAACATCTGAGATAAAGTTGACATTTCAATTTCAGCTTTAAAACGTTGTCCAACATGGCCATAAACACCATAGATATCGAAGAGGATATGTCAGTTCCAGTATTCAGGTTAGCAGTCAGCCAATGTGTAATTTTCAATGGTTAAATCTTAAATTATTACATTTAGTCTCAATAGATCCTAAGTATGTGGTTATATATTTGGCCAGCAGTCAAACGTCACACATAACTGGCTCTCTTTAAACAGGAATCATTGCAAAATACAAGACATCATACATAATTTTCAACACCAGATCCCAAACTTCAGAGGAACACTATCCAGTATCTGTAGAGCCAAACTGAGCTCACTGGAGTGCTACCAAAGACTGCAAAGCCTGTTTATTTAGAGTAAAGGATGAGCAACAAGTGCCACAATTGCTGATTTCTTCAAAATTGAAATATCTCACTCTTCGTAAGATGCAACTTCATAGACTTTAGAGTTGATTGCAATGATGATTGACCCTCATGAACTATAAATTGGAGATCTAAATTCCAAATGCACTAACAGCCACACAAACAGAATCCAGACGATTTGATTTACATTTGTATATTATATTTATAGTCTAAGCTACTCTTGGGGGTTTATACAGAGTTTAATGTAGTTGTGCTTTACTATTTGGATATAAATGTGATTCTTATGTAGATTAACTCCCCAAACACTGCATATTTTGCATCTCACCTTTGTCTGACACACCCATTTCAGGTCTTGGAGTCTCTGCTAATGAGTTGAATCAGTTGTGTTTGATTAAGGAGACTTACAGAATGTGCAGTTCTGTATGCCCAGTTCAGCTGGGGGCTCCAGAATTATGGGTGGGAGCCACTGGCATATAGGACTTCTAAATATATTCATTCAGAAATCACTAATACTGTGTAAAGCTTTAGTAGCATACTCAGCAGAAACCCTGTCAGTGACCAGCTTTACATCATGTACTGTTGCAGTTACACTGCAGCAAGGTTATTATAGTTTTGAATTTTTAAATTAGTTTTATTTTAATATCGTTTTCAAATTTGCTATACAATTCAGTAATGATGTGTATTGAGATATTTAATATGACAATAAATGTAGCCTAATTTGGTTATGATGGTTAGATGTCTTTTTTCTTTTTTTAAATTCATAATATATTGTAACTGTCGTGTCTTGCTCACTTTTCCGTGCATACTGCGCATAAATCATAACTGGGACTGAGAATGTAATGATTACGAAAACGATTATTTATTTTTGATAATTATTATTTTATTTCAGTTAGTTTTTCAATAACTGTTGTTAGTTTCGTTGCGTTTTAGTTTTTCAATTATTTTGTCATTTTTGTTTTATTTCAGTTTACGAAATTGTTTTTTCATCAATCGTTTTCGTCTTAGTTTTAGTTTTCGTTTACGAAAATAACCTTGCACTGCAGTTGTGCAAGCTCTGTGAAACAGGTCTTATGTTCATCATCCTGCCCCCCTGCTTCATTCACACACTGTGTATGTGTTTGTTGTGAAGCATGCCGTAAGCTTGCTCTGAGAGTGTAGTAGGCAATCAGTAACAGTAATGGGCTTAGTGATACTTTCAGTTTAAGAATCACTGACCCAAAACAGGAAAAACCAATAGCCATCTCTCTCCACCCTACTCAGTCTTTCACTGACCTAATTCAGCTCGGTCCCTCCATGGTGCCTGGTCCTGCTCTGAAATAGAGTACTTACGTTTAGTTTGGCCCTGCACGGCCAGCGACACCCGAAACAGTGAGCGAGTCGGAGAGAGCAGGCTGAGGTGAATGAGGTAAAGAGAGGACAGAAATAAGAGTTTGGAACAGTCCCAGTTTTTTTTTAGTAATTGTTCCCTCGTGTGCAGACACACAAGAAGTTGGCCGTATATATGGCCTGGGTTAAAGATACCTGGCCCTAGTCATCAGTGCTTAAGATGGCTCTCTCGCAGCAGAGCTAACGACAGGAGAAATTATGAGTCGGCACCAGAGGGAGAGGAAGAGCCAGCCTTCAATGCTCAGTTACCCTTTAAAGGGTACCGAAGCAGTGCAGAGGTGATAGTCTGTCTGACAGTGTGCTGGGGGTTATGTATTTTTTAAATGGTAGGTGAGGACATTTCCATTTACCCAGACACTGTTACTTAAAGAGATTCTGTAATAATTTCCTAACCCTTGTTTACGCCCAATGACTTCTAATGTGTCCATTAATGGATACCAGTCTTTACTGTCTTATTACACTAAATGCTAATTTTAAAAAAATGATAATAAATTATGAAAATAGTGGAAATAAAAAACTGCATGATCAGATTTTTCATTGTAATTTGGCCTAGAAGGATGTAACTAAATGCAACTAAATCGGACCTAAGACAGAGCCTTGTTGCACTCTATATCTATCTGTTCCATTGACTTCCATTCATGCCCATACAAATGTGGGAGAGCAGAAGCGCAAGCTCTTGCAAAGTTGTTTCGAATTTCGCTGCATTCCAAAGTTCAAGTTTGTTGAGCTCTGACATGTGAATTCGTATCATGCAAAACCGCGTGACCAATACAAGGCCGATTCATCACTGCATGACCTCGTAGCTGATTTAAAAGAACATAAATGTAAAACTACATCACTGCAGGAAAGTGGAGTAGATTGTATGTTTTAACATTTTGGATTTATTATTTTTTGTTACTTGTTGAATTTAAGTTGTTAATAACATCCTGCAGAGCGTGATGTCAGATCACAACCGCTGCAGTATCCGAAAAATGTCACACTCTTAAAGTCTATTGTGACCGCAGGTTTAGTCAGAGACAGCTCCACATTTACACACATCCATAGGAATAATCTGACTAGTAAAATTTAAACAAGGCCAGTGCTAACATGGTTCCACTCCTTTCTGGAGAATATTATTAGCTATAGTACAGAGAAATATATCAAAATTCAGATAAACATCAGTCTGACAAGTATTTTCTTTCTCATATTCTTAGATATGAAGTGACAAAATATCAGTTCCTTTATACTTTGTTATATTTTACACTACAACATATGATTGGTTATTTTTTATTCCATTATCTGATCTTCACATTTTCCATATTGTATTTACAGTCAAAATCCTACCAAAGCATGAAATTACATGAAGTTCACTAACCGTTTTAAATAGCAGTACCAGATACAAAGTACCAGGACAGGCGGTTTTGGTAAAAATCACACTTTTAATGTAGCCCAACATAAGTAACACAACTATAAATGCAGATATTACTGTATATGTACCAAGATGTCTTAAATAAGACATGAGCCCAGAGCATTTGTACTGCTGAAGGGATATTATGGATTTTAAAGTTATTGTGAGATCTAAGACTTTGTTTAAAGTTGAAATCTCCAGCCTGCACAGTTAGAACTAGATTCTGCACTAGCATGCTACTGGGACTGTAAAGACAGTCAAAAGCAATAACATATTCAATTAATAAGTCTAGGGTGGCTCGCGGAATCCGCTGAGCGTGAGTGAAACACGGTGATTACTTTCTCTTTCCACCATCATGCAGATAGCGCAGTCGTGTGCAGATAAGCGCAGAGGAATCCATTTAACATGAAGGCAGTGGATAGACTGCGTGTTTATCAGCCACCAGCACAAGTTGCTTTAGTAGAGATATAGGATCCAAACGCACCGACAGCAGATAAGAAGAGCGGGTGGGCGAAGCGAGCGGAGGAAGTGATAGCGTCTCTTCCCCTTATATTTCTCTCACATTCTCATCATCTGCTCTTTGTTTTGGCGAGAAAAGTCTCGGGTGTTCTTTTCATGATCAAAATAAGGTTGTTCATCAGACGTACTGTAATGGAGTCAGTTCAGTCGTACATAGCTCCTTTAAAAGAGAAACGGTAAATGACTCGTCAGGAAATGCAATATACTTAAATGCTTTCCCTTAAGTGTTTCCATTTATCCCACTTTACCCCAGCTATTCTTGACAGACTATCTGTTAAGCTCAGCTTTAGCTTCTACATACACTATCGCAACTGCTAAAGCAACCTCTGATCTGATACAAACTGAAATTACAAAACAATTATCACAAAACTAACCCACACACAGGGACTAAAACCACAAGTTGGCTGACTGTACATTATCTAGCTCATTACAGTGCTACACAGCAAGTAATAAAACAAATTCATGTGAAAAGTTGATTTGAGTGTAAATTATTTTATCATGTGTGAGGAAAGATGGTTAAATTATGCATTATATAGTTTTGTGCCACTGTAGAAGGTCTGAAGTGCGTTTATTTGCAGTATTTTGCCTGAATACATCTCTAAAGCCTGTATTCTCTCTACTCTGGGTGACCTCAGGTGTGCTAATGGCTATTTTGGTCGTCCCAACATTCCTGGAGGTTCCTGTCAGCCGTGTACCTGGATCTTACAGCAGAGCTCAGCTGCGACCCGGTGACCGGAGCCTGTCTGTGCTGTCGTGAGGGATATGGAGGGCCGGACTGTGAAAGGTGCGCTGACGGATACTTTGGGGATGCCCTTATAGCCAAGAATTGCCAAGGTGAGTGAAGGAGCTGATTTTGATTGTTTTCGGATCATAGCTTTTTAGCTAACAGCAACATGTGATGTCTAATCTCTTATAATCACATTATCAAGCAATTTAAGAATAAACGATTGGAAAAATTCTGAATATGTCACCAGAGGTAAGGCTGACATTTCACTAGAAGATCCAGCTATGACCTTTTGATTAAAAATTACAAGTTGAATAATAATAATAATAATAATAAACATACAAAACATGAAAGAATTGTTCATAATAAGATCTAAAACATGCATACATTAAAAATATTATCTCGCCACTGATTTTTATAAATACTATATCAACCAAAAGGCAGATCTACCATGACCTCTGAGTTTGTTAGATGATTATATTTGGGCCGGTAGAAGACATCTAGAGTGATTTCAGCTTTTTAAAAACCATGTTTATTGAGTGAATGTCCTGTGAAGAACTACACTACCCATAATCCTGTAGAGAGATCCACCAATCAAGTCACTGTTACCATGATCGCAGTTGTAGACAATTCCTTTTTGTTTTTATGAAATTGTAATTTGATTGTCTTGTTATTAGTTCATTATTACACAAAATAATTTAGACCTTTATGATACAATAATATTTTATGTTATGAACATCATTGTTTTTGTAAAGTTAAGATGACTTTGAAGTGCATATTTAAATGAAAATGTCTAAATGAAATCATAAGGAGTGAAAAGTAAAATGTTAATCTTGGAACTGTTCTCAGTTTCAGAAGAATTCAATTTCAAATTCAATAAAATAATACTCAATTATATAAACACACTTATTATTATTAGTTTCCATAGTATGTTGTAACACTGATTTTGGAGAAGAAAAAAAACTCCCAGAACAGAAAATCGTGCACCCTCTCTTAAGCACTCAACAACTACAATAAAAGGCAGATATTTTTCGCCCTTCCTATTTGGTTGTCACTTTAGGAGTTTTTAATGTGTCTGTTTTTGTAGAAATTAAATTGTGTTCTTCCAGACAGCCTGCATGGCAGATGTGTGTGTGTGTGAGGTGAGTTGATCCAGTAGCTCGGGCCGTCTACCCTCAAGGACAATACACACAGATTCCCCTCCAACAAGCCTCATGCAACACCATCTGTGCTCCATCTCAGTAAGAGTCAGACTGTTCAGAAAGTGTGTGTGCATTATATTGAAATGCAATCTGTCCTCCTGCAGCCCTACAGCAGTGTGCCCACGGTTACACCGCGCTGTAATTTTAAGCAGGATAGAGTCGTTCTGTTTGATTGTTTTCCTCACATACTGCACTGATTAGCATGCAAAGGGGTCATGGGATATTGAATAATCACACTGGTTTTTAATTTTAGTTGTTATACACGCCAGAGGCGAGTTCAAAGCACATTTGGGTTGCACACATTCCCTCGGTTGTGCATGAAACATGACAACGAGTTCTCCCAGAGTCTGTGTGTTCCTACTGATTTTATCAGTGCTTAGTGCATTTGATATGGTTATAATATTGCAAAACATATTCAGATGGTGAAGTCTGTGATTCAAAGTCTTATTGGAACAGGAATTCTTAGAATTTTTTATGTCAAATTTGTAATGTGAAAAATTGTGTAAAAAAATGAATAATTGTTCATGTTGTGAAATTATAACTTTTCAAATAAAAAATTTCACTCAAATTGTTATACTTAACTTTAATTAGCTTGCAAATTCTTATTTTAAATGAGAAAATTGTTAAATAAAAACATTATACTAATATCAGACACATTGTACAAAAGTCAAAAAAAAAAAAAAAAGCACTAAGTTTCAGTATGTAGTACTAAACTCACTAGCGGATCTCAGACTTCTGGAGGGAATGTAGATTCCTAATAGTGAGTGGAAGTAGGCGGGTACTGAGCCTGTGGCTGTTCTATATGCAAGAATCAATGTCTTGAACTTGATGTGAGCCGCAACCGGTAGCCAGGGCAAGGAGATAAATAGAGGTGTAACATGGGCTCTTTTGGGCTCATTGAAGACCAGTGATTTTTATGCCAGGAATAATTATGCCTTGGCAGGAACAACAAACGTGATGGGGGTTGGTCGGTCTTGGTGGAGCAGATAACCATGGCAGGCTGTGGTGAAACCAGCAGGGTAGAATACCCTGACGGTGGGACTGAGAAGCTGGAGAACCAGGCAGAGCCAGAGGAGTGGAGGGACAGGGTGACACCACTGGACTGAAGGGTTTAGGTGGAGATGCAAGGAAGCTCAAGGTGGAGCTGGGGGCCAAAAAGACTGTGGCAGAGCCAGCTGGGAGCAAGGACGAAAAAGAAGCCAGAGGGAAAGAGAAGCCCAGTGGAGCCAAAGGGATGTAGAGCCGAGGTACAGCAAAAGTCCATGGCAAAGTCAATGTGATGATTGACAGAGCCGGAGGGATGAGGAACCCGGTGGAATTAGAAGGCTAACAGACCAGAGGAACCGAGGGAACAACGAACCAAGGTGGAGCTGAAGAGTCAAAGGACCGAGGTGGATCTGAGGACCAGGGCAAAGCTTGTGATTGTGAGGTGGAGCTGGGGAACTGGACGGAACCAGCAGGGGAGGATGGGCCACCAGAAACAAGGGAGCTTGGAGGTTGGGTGGGACCAATAAGCTGGAGGGAACTGACCAAGCAGGAAGGAATTCGAGGGTGGGCACAAGGGTGGAGACTGGTTGTGTGGCAAACAGGTCAATCAGAAATTCCTCCAACGCTAGTTTCAAGACAGACACGGCAACAGGCTCGCTCTGGCTCCAGAATGGAAATGGTGGCAAGGTCTAGCTCTAAGTCAAACAATTCAGCGGCCTCTGGCTCAGGGTTTGTGGCAGACTTTGGCTTCGGCTCAGGGTCAGGTACAGGAGTTGGTCCTCGAGGTGGAGAGAGACTGCTCCTAGATCCATAAGTATTTGTGGGTTGGTTATTCTGTAACAGTGTAACAGGCAGGGAGAGAGTAGATGCTTGGATCAACTTGCAGCAGCAGTAGTAGTTAATTTACAAAAACAAAGAGCTTGGTAATGCGGGATACTAAGAACACCATTAACAGCAACAATAACCAACAAACTGCATACAACACAGGACAATATATACATGGAAAACTAACAACCAAAGAAGACCTAAGTGAAGAACATGATCAGTTACACTGGAAACTAACTAGGTCATGACCAAAAACCAAGGCAACTAATGAAACGGGAACTGAACCTGGGAAACACAGAGACCAAAGGAAGAAGAAATACCTAGCATAAACAGTGTTGCAGTTGAAAGAAAAAATACAGGACTGTGGGTTGCGTCTGGAGGAAAATGGGCAAGTTTTCATTCCGTTTGGGTGGATTTTGAGTGGGATTTGGGCTAGAAATTTTCATGGGACCTGGCAACCCTGAATATAATGTGACACTGATTGGCTGCTTAATTATTATCAAGTATTGTTAGTTCTTTTGTTAGTCCTTTCAGATACATTCAAAATTGAAAACAGTTATTTGAAATTGTAATAATATTGCACAATATTACCATTTTTACTGTATTTTCATCAAATAAATGGAGCCTTACAAGTTAGAGAGCAGAAAGAAAAGCATTGGGGGAAGAAGGAATGGTAAAGGATCTCAAGACGGGAATTGAACTCAGGTCACCATGAGCACAGTTGAGCTGTACTGTATGTCGGCACACTAACCACGAGGCTATTGGCACCAACACCTTCAGAGACATTTAATACCAATGAGAACCATATTCCAAACGTTTCACTGGCAGTACTGGATATAAAGGAGATCAAAACAAAATATAACTTACTATATTTCTATATGTAACATCTTCATGTCTAGTTGTATTTCTCTCTGTGTCTCTGTGTAGCGTGTCAGTGTCACACTAATGGATCGCTCTCAGAGTTGTGCCATCAGGAGACCGGACAGTGCCAGTGTCGACAACATGTTGTTGGACGTCAGTGTGACGAGTGTATGGTGAGTATGCACAACACCAAATGCAGTCATTTCTGTCATTGGGTTAGATTGAAATGGCCATGTTAATTACACATTTCATTTCACTTTCTTTTTTAAAATATTTTCCTATTTTTATCTCTGCCTCTTCATAAACCCGTGAATGTGTGTGTTCAGCCGAATTGTTGGTGGAACAGTGAGCCTCAGTTGTGTAGGCCGTGTCAGTGCAGCGCTCGGGGCTCTGTGTCCCAGCGCTGTGACTCTGAGGGCAGGTGCATCTGTCGGGCCAGATACGTGGGCCGCAGGTGTGACCTCATGCGCCCGCCTCACGTCCACAGGGAGACCCGGCGACCCGTCCAACAGGTTCCCATCCAACACATCCAGAGATGGGAAAGCAGAGGGGGCTGCCCTCGAGGGGC